CAGGATTAAAAGAAAAACGAAATAAAGAAAGAAATTAAAAAGCATTTTTTTTTTTGGCTTTCAATATAACTGGGAAATTTAAATGGTAGGAACACCAACTCAAATTCCACTTATATATAATTAATTAACTATAGTCTATATATATATATATGTATATAATTAATTAACCATATATATAGTTAATTAACTATAGTCTATATATATGTGTCATGAAGTGGTAAATAATATGAGCTAGTTGTTTCATTTGTAACTGTCCAAATTGTTTTTACACGCACGCACGTACAAAATGAGGCCCCAAGAAAATGATGGGACACCGTATTTTTGCAACCTATTGCATGGCCATTGGCTAAATATATATGCTTCATACGTAAGGCAAAGGTTTTGTTCTTGCTTTTCCATGGTTGACACGCAATTCTTATTTTATTTTATTTTATTTTTTTTTCTGTTTGGTGTTGCAAGTCAGGTATATATCACCCTGATTTTGCTTCCAATTGCAAACACCAACAACATTTATTGGGTCCGCTGTCAAATTGATCAGAAAAAACCAATATAAAAAAAAATGAAAAAAAAAAGCTTCTAGGAAGTATGGCGAGTAGTGTTTAATTTCAAGTACAATATCGATTTTTAAAAAAAAAAGAAAAAAAAAAGAAGAAAAATGAAAGAGACTGGGGAAAAGGAAGAGAGATTCAAGCATGTTGGTGTAATGTCATGTTGGGAGTGATACAGTCTTGGGTGGTATGGATTGGTCTGCTGTCTCTATATATATATATGAATTGAGAACGAACCAATTAATTTTAGGATTATTCTTCGAAATAATAGAAGAGTAACATTATTACTTGTTTTACATGTTAATCATTCTTATATATAATGCCATGCCAACTCATCAATCATCATCACTTGACAAATCCAAAGGCTATCTTTTCATCCAAAATAAAACTTTTAATCTGAGCCATCCGGTTGTAATAGACACTGTTCAATTTCAAGTCAATACCGAATCTTATCCAATCTCATCGTCAATGTTTGTATAATTTGCCCCTCAATTAGTACAAGGAGTTTTGATGGTTAATAATTTAGTCGGCATAAACTACAAAGAGTGTAGCACAAGTCTTTTTTATAATTATTATTTTCCTTTAATTTTTTTAAGTTTGTTGAACCACATGTAAAACCTAACTAATTAACCCGATTTTTTTTATTTTTTGTTTTTGTTATCTGCTTGGAAGCTTGCTCTTATGTGGGTTCTAAATCCAAAACATGAATGTGACCAAATGAGAGGGATATTAGAATATTCTTTCAGTGGTTACGCCCACTGAGTATGACAAAAAAAAAAAAAAAATGGTTAATTTTGTAATTAATAGCAATATTTGTGGGGTGCATTGTCCCATAAGATGCGTAGTTTTCAGCTTTTTCACCGACAATTCCAACACTATTTATATAAAATAACTTGTATATTGCTGACGTTTTGATGAACTTTCAGGACCATAGAAGGAAAGGGGGTGAAAAAGAAAAGAAGAAAGAATAATAACTCAACTCAATTTGCAAAAGAAGGTCCAATAGATGAATGATTCGTTTATTCTCCCCTTACGTTCTGAAATATGTACTTCCTCCACTTAATTATAATATTAAAGCCAATATCTTATCATGAGTTGGTTATACATAATAAAAATTTATTTATTTTATTACCATATGTATTAATTTTACCTTTTTTTGATATGAATGCCATAAACAAGTATCACAAAGTCAACGGTGATCAAATACGTCTAATTAGTTCATCTCTAAAAGATATTTAGGCCTCGTTCATTTTACCGATTCGAATTTTCAGTTTTAGGTTTCTATAATAAAAAGCTCTAAGAAAATGTCACATTTAACTATTTCTGCTACAGTGAAAAGCTCTCAGAAAATGTCACATCTCAGCTCGAATTGAAAACTCGAATCCGCGAAGTGAATGAGGCCTTTTGGAAAACTACAGTAGTAGACAAGTTAATTAGAACTAGAATAGTTTAACTATAATGTAACTAAAGAAGTCTTAGTCAAATATTATTAAAAACCCATGTTCAGTTCATGGAGATTAACCATTGTAAGTAAGAAATCAAAACAAGTCAATCAGTCCCAATATTAGAATATACGGATTTGTTTCACGGCCATATAATATAATTTACATTTTATGTGTCTTAACTGTCCATACATTTAGAGTTTCTACTTTAAACTAATTAACAAAAAATTTTCCCCTAAATAAATAACAAAAATTTAAAAAAAAAAATTAATTGCTTGATTGGTAATAGGATTTCACCTTTTTTTCGTGTGATTTTTTTTTTTTTGCTTTTCTTTTATTTATTTATTTATTTTTCTTTTCTCCGGAGGACTTGTTAAGAAAATTTTCTTTACAATAATATGTGTACCGAATGAAAATTACGGATAAATTACAAAGAATTTTATCTTGTTTGGGAGAAAAATAACGAAAGCTCCGGCCAAAAAAAACTCTAATGTGCTCATGATTTAAGCAAGCAAATTTAAAAGTAATTCTCACATTACTATCCAACCCCAGAAAACTAAGCTAGATATGGAAAAACAAAATAAAATAATAAGAGGAGACAAAAAAACAAGGAAACAAACCTACCTGTTATTCCCACAGGAATAAGACAAGGCAGTTAACAAAACACGTAAACCTTATCTGAAAGAAACCGAAACGCCACATGGTGAGGAAGATAGACTTATCTCAACTCATAAACAGTGTAGACAAAACCTCTGAGTATAGCCATGGTAGCCTTGAGCTGCCAATTCCACCACCCCATTAATGTCGTTTTAAAAAACTATCGACGCATCAAGTCAAAACCGGCCACCATCTTTTGCTCAGCACAACCCTCTCAAAGCAATATCAAGGTTCTCATGAAATGCCATAAAATATTTTTCATTTTCAGAAAATATGAGAAAAACTTTAATTTAATAATTTGTGTTTTGGGGTGTTACTATTTTAGGTCATTATAAATGGAGCAGCTAAGGAAATAGGAAGGGCTGCAGTAATTGCAGTGACCAAAGCCAGAGGAATGGAAGTGGCTGGTGCTGTGGATTCTTATCAAGTAGGGGAAGACATTGGCAAGGTCTTTTTCTAGTCTTTCTTCTTTGCTAAATACCCAATAATGCTAATCCAACTTTTCTTAATTAATTTTCTGATTTTTGTATATTTGCCACCTTAACAATGTTATGTTTGTTTTTTTTTCTATCTTTACAAAAAGTAGGTGTGTGACATGGAAGACCCTCTTGAAATACCCATAATGAATGATCTCACCATGGTCTTAGGTTCCATTTCTCAGGTAATTAACTAAGACCCTTGTTTCTATACTTATGCAAACGACATTGACAATTTTTTTTCTTAATTTATGACTTTTTTTCCCAGTCAAAATCTACAGGAGTAGTTGTTGATTTGACTGAACCTTCCAAAGTTTATGACAATGTGAAGCAGGTAAATCCTACCTTAACTTTGGTTTAATTTTTTTTTCATAGATTGTTTACATTTTCTGAAAGTCAGAGAAGAGAAATTTTAATTGAATACCATAACTAATTGTTTTGGCTCCTTTTATTTGTTTCCTGTTAGGCAATAGCATTTGGCATGAACAGTGTGGTTTACGTGCCAAGAATCAAACTAGAAACGGTAACTGCATTGTCAGCTTTCTGTGACAAAGCCAGCATGGTGAGCACTGCAGGGTGAGAAAACCTCATATGTGATTACAATTCAACTTGTCCTTTTTCTTGTTACAACTTGTGGTTAGGACATTTTTTTTAGTCCGTCATATACTGAAATTATTAGCCCGTTTGTTCCACGTGTTCGAGTGGATAACTTAAGTTGAAAAATAAGCGTATGTGAGAGAAAACCCTATAACAAAAAGTTTGAGTTGCGATTCAACAAAGCAATTTTCCCATTTCTCTCTTTACCTCCTTCTGCGTTTAATGTGAGGTTGCTAAAATTAATACCAGGGCTGTCTTGTTGCGCCGACTCTTTCCATTGGATCAATACTCCTTCAACAAGCTGCAATTTCAGCTTCCTTCCATTACAAGAATGTAGAAATTGTGGAATCAAGGGAAAGACCAACGGTAACTAAATTCTGTGCCTAATGTTATGTTGTACAGACCACTGAAAATACAAGTCGCAAAAAAACATTTGTTATTCCCGACAAGCACGCATGCTTGCTGTAACAACAACAACAACAACAACAACAACAAAAAAAAAAAACCCGATTGTTTTCTGAAAAAAAAAAAAAAAAAAAAAAAAAAAAAAAAAAAAAAAAAAAAAAAAAAACATGTTGAATATATCATGATACAATAATATGTTAAAGTTAAGTTTTTTTATGGCAGGATCTTCCATCTGCAGATGCGTCCCAAATTGCCAACAATCTGTCCAATCTAGGGCAGATTTACAATAGAGAAGATATTTCAACAGACGTTTTGGTAAACTGAATTATCTGAACTGTGGAATTTCCACGTATTAGTGCCATTTGATGCCTCAAACTCATAATTATTTTGTACCATAAAGGCAAGGGGCCAAGTTCTTGGTGAAGATGGGGTTCGTGTGCATAGTTTAGTCCTTCCGGGGCTTCCCGCCAGCACAACTGTCTACTTTTCCGGCCCGGGAGAGGTCTGCTTCTGGTGTCATTCTTCTAGTTTTGAAAATCATTAACTAGAGCAATTTTGTTACCCTGGCGAAATAGCAATCTGATCGATGAGCATTGCTGTCCATGCAGGTTTACTCCCTCAAACACGATATCACCGACGTGCAATGTCTGATGCCAGGACTCATCTTAGCTATTAGAAGAGTTGTGCGTCTCAAGGTAAGCAACAAATCACATCCAAGTTTTAATATCAAAATTTCTTGAGAAATCTGCTTTGATATATATTAAACTGAAGACTACTGTTTTTCCTCTTCTTTCTTTCACTGCAGAACCTGGTGTATGGATTGGAGAAATTTTTGTAGAACTCCCAGTGCATTTGCTCAGATCACACTCCTTCATGTGGAACTGTACTTCCGATTATTGATCCAATGGAGGAACCATTTTTATCCTGTAAATGAAGATCTGAGAGAAGAGGAACCATTTTGTTAGTTCTTGCATCGGTTAATTCAATTGAACTACGCTTTTCCGAATCTGAGGGGCTATTTTCTCATAGTAGTGTTGATTTGAGTTCAATGTTGGAAATTTATCCAACACCATATTCAATTCTGAATCAACCAAACGTGAAAAATGAGAGAAAGAACACCAAGACTTGTTATCGAGGTTCGGTACAAATTGATACCTACGTCCCCGCGAACTCCCCAGAAAAAGTTTGATTTGCACTATTGAAAGAATGATCAATTACAAGAGTTTACACCAAGAACAAACTCTCAGAAATACAACCTTACCCAGAGAAAAACCACAAGAAATTTTCCGGAGAAAATTTTTCCTTTTCTCTCTCCCTTTCTTGCTCTAACCCCTTTCTCTATCTTAGGCTATTTCTGTTACAGAATTTGCTCTCAACTCATCAATCTCTCAACCCAGAAAACTGATTTCTGTTTTCTTCTTAGATCTCTCTGGAAAAACTAATTCTGTTATAACTATATATGAATATATATAAAAGCTGTAGTGAATGTCGGTGGTGCTCCAGTCAACACTACTTGTATCTATTGCTCAGCCACGTCAGCTTCTCCTTTCATTTACTGAAAGGCTGCCGTTTAGCTTGTACACAAATCTGCATTCTTCCAAAACTTATATAATGACTTGTAGTACTTGTTAATAACAGAATGAACAGATCACTTATAATTGAATCCTTAATTATATGGGAATTGATTCAACATTCAAGTCTACACCCTTTTCAAAATACAAGAGTCTGAGCAAAATTTTCCCCTTATACCATCTGCTTCAATGTTCAATCAAAAGAAATGATCACTTTTAGTATTCACAATTTCAATATCAATGGTTTTTGAGACCTGCTCAACAGAGGCAAAAAGGACTATTTCTTCAACTTACCAACATAATAATATCATCATTCTTCCGAAATTCAGAATCCCAGACAATTTAATACATGAAGAGTTCATAGGAACAAGGTATAAAATCTAGCAGCCTCTTGGTTTTTGGAGTTGAAAATTTGATCAATATATGAGCCGTTATACTCGTTTGTTCGTTACAAATTAGTACATAAGGTCTTACCCGCAAATTTCTTTGCCAGTGCTCCTATCCAGGCTCTATCTTTTACGTTATACGCATAGCTAATAGTAGAAGCCACCAAGATAAATCCTTGATTGGTTTCCATGGTTTTGTCACTCGAGTCAGGAACTTGTGGCACTGGTTGTACCAGGACAGAACGAGTCCCCTTGGGTAGAATATCCCAGAGTCCAGAATCTGAAAAAACCATATAACAGGAAGAATCAGCATATAATAAAGTTAAATTCTTGGTCGTTTTGATTCAAGCATCGCAATACAGCAATGAAGAAAAACGACATTAAAAAGAAAAACGACAAATTTTTAAAACAAAAGGCTAAAAAACGAGTCACTCAAAAAAGGGCAATCTATGCGACCAGGACAACTTGAATAATAAGACAAGACAACAATAATAAAACAGATGACAACAAAGACCACAACGTAAAAACGACATAGACAGCTAAAGGGCAATAAATAGTTTAAACGACGTCGAATGAAAACGACAAGGACTAGAACAATGACCATTACAGAAAAAGCGAAACAAAAGTCGTTACAACATCTCTTACATGTGTAACGACGACAGAAACAACGATCACACAACTTCAACCAAAAAAAAGGACAAGAATTTGTATTCCAAAAAAACTGACTGAAAAACGACAACAACAATACAAAGGATGATAACAGAAAGCTTATAGAGCAAAAAGAACAAACCAATATCAAATATAAAAACGATACGTCCTGGAACAACATAAAATTTTAAATACCAAGACACAGACTGAGCCGTTGAGGACAGTAATAAACGACGATAGGTTTTAAACGACAGCATCCATTATAAACGACGAAAAAAACGACAAACAAGGCAGCGGAGTGTTTACTACCTGAAATCTGGGGAAAATAAAGGGTGTCTTTCACGTCAGAAATGCCAAATTGTTCAATCTGTCTCCCAAACCAATCTAGTAAATCGGTTTTCGATACATCGGTTGGCGTGTTCCAATACCCACGTACGCATAATTCACCTTGAATTGATATTAACTGCAAAATTAGTGATTATTATCGTCAAGTTACAGACTATTACATCACGTATGCTAATAAATCATGTTCTAATTAGAATAATATCTAACAACTAATTTAAAAGACTGGACAATTGGTAAAAATACCACTGCCATGGTGTTTGTATTCCGGAGCAAGATGTATGTGGCCCAAGCCAAATCTTCCTTCTCAGTATTTGAGACATTTTCCGACAACATAAATATTTGTTCACTGCCTTCAGGAATTGTCGTTTGATCCATTGGAGTAGCACCCTGCAAATATTTCTCATCTTCATAAAGCTTCGAATATATTAACCAAAAAAATAATCAATTTCTTCATATTGAGAACAGATAAAACCTTTAGAAATTTTCCGAGATAGGGAAGTACTATTGAGAATGCAGCCAAAGAAAGACCCAAAGCCTCTGTTCTCTACAAAAAAAAAAAAAAAAAAAAAAAGAGATCAAACGCACAACAATAAACGACACAAGTACATATGATACTGAAAAAATAAAAAGAAAAAAGAAAATTTATTTATTTATTTATTTATTTTGTGTGTGCTTACTAGCTGAGCAGAGGTAATATCAGTGACAGAATTGGAACCGACGAAATGATTCAAAACCAAAAGCGAACCAAAACCATATCCAATCCATCTGGGCAAGTACGATTCGTCCAGCCCAGGAATTCCTGCAATTCCCACAAATGAGCCCATTTCAAGTCCATAATCCCATATATAGAGAGAGAGAGAGAGAGAGAGAGAGAGAGAGAGAGAGAGAGATTTACCGAGAGTGAAGCGGAGGACAGAGAGATTGAGTTGGGGATTGGGTTGGCCGCTTCGAGAATTGTCGTCGAGACGAGATGAGATTACTGAGAATCTTCTGGTGCTGCTTCTGGTGCCAAATCCGGTTGGGATTTTCAGCTGAGATAGCGGACTAAGGGAGACAATACTGTTGCTCATGTCCTTTTTTTTCTTTTCCCTCTCTCTCTCTCTCTCTCCCGGGTGTTTGGGAACTAAGAAAAAGAAAGTTGATGTCGGTATATTCGTGGAGAAAATTTGACAAGACCAGGAAAAAAAAAAAAAAAAAAAAAAGATCTAGACCATTTTTTTATAACAAGAAAATTTTGACGTATATTTTACGTGTAAAAAATGAACCCAATTTTAACTTATGTGTATACACAAGGATCACTTAAAAAAACTTTTCCTCTCTCAAAACTGAACAGACCGTTTTTTAGGTGCCTTTTCTTCTCTCTCACCGACCGATCCTCTCACCGACCAAATCTCTCGCCCCAATCGGTCCTCTCTCGTTGACTGACCCTCTCTCGCCGACCAGACCCTCTCTCGCCAACCGACCCTCTCTCGCCGACCGACCCTCTCTCACCGACCAGACCATCTCTCGCCGACTGACCTTCTCTCGCCGACCGACCCTCTCTCACCGACCGACCCTCTACAACGCCGACCAAACCATCCCCAATGTCGACCGACCATCCCAAATGCCGACCCGACCCTCCCGAACACTGACCGACCCTCTTGATCGCCAACCCGACCCTCGAACGCCGACCGACCATCCCCAACGCCGACCCAACCCTCCCGAACGCCGACCAAACCACCCACACCGCCAGACCTCTCCACTAGCAACTTCCACGACTGAAACGGCTTCACAAAGCAGCTCTTATTCCTCAACTAAGACGGTCATTTCGCGAACCCCTCTTGACGAGGCAACGAAATCTGCTCTCCCTCAGGTAAACTTTCTTTGATTTCACATTAGGGTTTTATTCTTGTTTTATGTTTTGATACATTTTTGCAAGAATAAAAACTTAATATAAGAAAACAAGAATATGTATTAGTGTCTGTTCATGGTGGTCTGTTCTCATTTGTCTGTGGTTTGTTTGTGGTCAGTTTTGATACACGGTCGGTTCACAATCGGTTCACGGTCGGTTCTGGTTGGTTCTGGTCGGTTTGGTCGGTTCTGGGCGTTTCTGGTTGGTCGGTTCTGTCGTTCTGGTCAGTTCTGAGTAATGTGTTTTTTCTTTTTTCATAATGACCTCTCGATGTACAACCCAGATGAACTTCCTGTGATTAGACAACCAAGGACGGTCATGGATCCTAAGCGGGAGTATTTTCCAGTGAAGATCACTGTGAAGTCAAAGATGGAGGCCTTGGAATTGAAGGGCGATTCTTCGCCAAAAAATAAAAATTAGCAGAGCATACATTTGACAGCGACATGGATGAATCTATCAATGGAAAAAAGCGCATAATTGGAAAGAAATGGGATGGCGCGCAAGGCTTCACAATGCCTCTTAACATTGAGGATAAGCATTAAGTTGCCCTTTATGTTGATTTATCTGAAATCAACATAAAGGTGTATGACTGCAATGTAAAGATGTACAGGGATTAATAGATGTAAAAATACGTGGAGCCTATCTCTGTCATAATGCCCAAGTTCTTGAAGTAGATAGCTTTATTTAACCCTATGGGTGATAAACTCGACAGTGCGTGCTCATTCTTTTGTCCCAAGTCGTTGGTTCACAACCTCAAAACGGATGACTGCGGACTTTTCACATACAAATTTATCGAATATCTTGTCCGTAAAATCCCATTAGAAGAACTCGCTGAAGAACAAGTAAAAATGTACCGGTTAGAGCTTGCAGCCGGAATTTGGAGCGAGTACAATCTTAAAAGGCCCGTGAGTTGTATATAAAAATGTTTATAAACATGATATAATTAAAAACATTGTTTTGCTAGTAAAATGTATACAAAATGTTGTTTTGCTTGTAAAATGTATATAAAAATGTTAATTTTTTAGAAAGCTTCATACATATCCCAAACAATGAAGAAATATCCCATTTATAAAAGAGAAAAAAACGTTATTAAAAAATGAAAAAAAATATATCAATTTATAAAAATGTATAATTAAACATAATATAAAACAAAACTAGACCACTAACAGAATGACCAGACTAAGAACATAATGACCAAAGCATTATTAAAAATGAAAAAAAAAACCATCAATTTATAAAAATGTATAATTAAACATGAAATAAAATAAGACCATACCACTAACAGAATGACCATACTAAGAACAGCATGACCATGCTAAGAACATAATGACCAAACCAAGAACAGAACAACCGATCAACGATCAGAACTAGAATAGACTACAAACATACCAAGAACAGACCACGAACCGACCATACTTGACCAAGAATAGACCATGATGATTTTGTTAATTTTTTATAAAGCTTCATACTTGTCCCAAACAATGGAGAAATATCTCATTTATAAAAGAGAAAAAAAGCTTTATTAAAAAATGAAAAAAAAAACCATCAATTTATAAAAAAAAATGTATAATTAAACATGATATAAAACAAGACCAGACCACTAACAGAATAACCAGACTAAGAACAGACCAACTGATCCACTTCAGAACAAGAACTGCCCACACTTGGAAAAAAAATAAACTAAGAACAGATCAAGAACAGACCAACTAGACTATGAACATACCAAGAACAGACCATGAAAATACCATGAACAGACTAAGAACAGACCAAGAACAGACCAACCATACCATGAATAGACCAAGAACAGACCATGAACAGACAAGATAAATTAATAATATTTTTTCACTTTTATAAATTTTAGATCATTGATTTATGACATTGATGTATATCATTGATATTGAATTGAACACTAACTAATATTTACAACGTTAGTTAATCATATCTATCACAACATAACTTTATTTTATACACGATGTCTTACATAATATGTAGAATTATATTTTTACTTCTTACTTATGACGTTTAATTAAACACATTTTATAAATTTATTATATTGTTTCATCAATATATTGATAAAGTCGTGTCTTAACACTGAAAAAATAAAAATATATATATTAAAAGGATTTTTTTAAAAGTTTGTTTAGGGTATGTTCTTGGTTTGGTTAGTCTGTTATGGTCTGTTCTTAGTCTGTTAATGGTCTGGTTGGTCTGTTCTGGTCTGTTCTTGGTCTATTCTTGTCAAAGTGTGGTCGGTTCTTATTGTGATAGTGGATCGGTTGGTCTGTTCTTGGTCTGGGACATGTATCTTAGTGGTATGTTCTTGTTTTGATCGTTGATCGGTTGTTCTGTTCTTGGTCTGTTTGTGGTCTGGCCATTCTGTTCTTAGTCTAGTCATTCTGTTAGTGGTCTGGTCTTGTTTTATATCATGTTTAATTTTACATTTTTATAAATTGATGGTTTTTTTTTCACTTTTTAATAACACTTTTTTTTCTCTTTTATAAATGGGATATTTCTCCATTGTTTAGGACAAATATGAAGCTTTCTAAAAAATCAATAAAATCATCATGGTCTATTCTTGTTCAAGTGTGGTTAGTTTGTGGTATGTTCTTAGTCTGTTTGTGGTCTATTTTTGCTCTGATCGTTGATCGGTTGTTCTTTTCTTAGTCTGTTTATGGTCTGGTCATTCTATTCTAAAAATTTAGGCAGCATTTTTCCATAATTATAAGCTTTCCCATAGTCAAAATAACATATTGAATATAATAAGTATAAAAACAATGCAATGCTAATAATAATATTTCAATTGTCAAAAATAATAATATTTTTTTCATGAGCACATCGGTGCGTTTTTACATTTATTCTGATAGTGTCCATATTGCCCACACCTAGCACATCAGTTCTGCCTTCGTGTGAACTCACCTATGCTAGGAATGCGTTTTTGCTTTGGCCTACCCATTTTCGGTACAACACGTGGTGATAGAATGTGAACTTCCTTTACTTCATTCAGAATATCCCATTGCGAAGTATCTGGCACATGATAGATTATCTCAGCATATATATGCTAATCAAATTACAGTCTGAATACCACACCCAACAACTTTCATTCTCCTCCCATTTTCCTCCAATGTCAAAACAAATCCTCCACCGAGCCATTATTTAGATTTAAAACTGTAAAATTTTAATCAAGATAATAATATGTCATTCAATCAAACCAAACATACCACGAACAGACCATTATAATGAGAACAGACTACGAACAGACCACAAACAGACCATTAGAATATGAACAGACCAAGAACATACCATATAATATGAACAAACCATGAACAGACTATGAACAGACCATGCAAAAGATGGTCTGTTGAGATTCAGTCCCATTTTTTTTCTAAACCCAACAAATCTTCATATCAGACAATGTAAACCCCTCTTTTACCATCTAAAATTATTATTTTAATGGGTTTTTAACATTTTTAACTACATTATCATCTTAAAAACATATGAACAACATAAAAAAATACCATGAAAGATATAGAAAAAGAAAGACATACTTAGTAGCTTTTCTTCAAACATCGTTTTGGACGGGAAAAAAGCGTTGAATGAGCAAGATAATAATGTTAGTGAGGTTGTGCGATGGCGAGGACTTGAGAAGAAGAGAGAAGAAAATGAAGGCGGCTGGAAGAAGAAAATGGCGCGAAATAGAATATGGGGAAGAAAAAGAAACTCCTAAAAACATACTTGCTGACGTGGAATGACTGATGTGGATGTTGGTCTATTTACTCAATTTTTTGTGGTTTATTTACTTAAAAACACTTTTTACTTAGTCTATTTCCAGTCGTGGTGGCGGCGATGGTGATATTAATGAGTGCTATTCAAATACTGATAAATGAGGGTGAGTTTCTTAAATAGCACTTATACTGGGGTTGATATCTAAAGATACCACCCTTTTTTTTTTTTTTAAAAAGTTTTTTATAGATATTTATGTTTTAAAGATAAAATAGACTTTGTGAAAGTAGGTTGTATCAACGGAATTACCGAAAAACCGGTAAGAACTAATGAGTTCTTGTCAAAAGTTGCATACAATCTTATTAAAGGTTCTTTCTACATAGTAAAATTTAAGTACTAAAGTTTGAATATTGGAAAATTTTCAAAATATTAAAAGAATAATACAATTTGATATTATTAAAATCATGATCATTTGATATTAGTGTCTTGAGCAAATGAAAAATATAATTATACATAGTAAAATTTAAATACTAAAGTTTAAATATTGGAA